AATAACTATGAAGTTGTTTTTACAGCTATTTCTAGTTCACAAGTACTTTCACATGCATTAGTTCACTTTGATTCCCAGTGCAGAGCAGAGTGGATAACATTATCCCTTTAGTTTTACTAATTACAAATGACAAAACTGAGGCTCGTAACATTTAAGTGACTTTCTCTGCCCCAAGTCATACCAAAAATGATGAAGCCACAATAAACCTAGGCGATGGGACTCCAATTTCGAGTCAAGTGAATGTTTTCCCTTTACCTTCAGAGAGCTCCTGTGGCTAAGGCAGTTTTACAAATAGGACTTCAGTAGTCCCTAAGCCTGAGTTTTACACCATTTCCACACATTCACATATACACACACACACAGAGGGAGAGAGAGACAGAGAGACAGAGACAGAGAGAGAGAACACCTACAAATATATCTGACAGCTGCTGTCATTGTGGTAAACTTACCTAAGTGGATATGAAAGATATAAAAGTGGGCCTTTGTAACTGGATACTCAATGGCAATAATTCCCTGCCCTAGGATGGAATTATTATACACCCAATAAGACCCCAGATTATCTCAAATTTACCCAAATATCTCTCTCCAAAAATAATTTATAAGAAGTCATGCAATATGTGGGGTGAGAGAAGGCACTGGATAGGAGAGGAAGATGGAGAAATAGGTAATGAAATAATTTTATCTGCATAATACTTTATAGTATTCAAAGCCCTTTCATGGCTCTCATTTTATTTGATTTTTAAATTCTGTGCTATGGGAAGAGCTGATATTATTTTCATCATCTTTTAAAATAAGAACAACAAGACTCAGAATGATGAAATAACTTACCCAAGGATGGAAAAAGAAATTCATTTTGAAAGAGCCTCAAAGCTCTTTAAGAGAGCCTCTCTGGACTCAGTTTCCTCATTTGTAGTATGAGAGGGTTGGACTAGATTTATTTTATTCAAGAAACTAAACAAGACAACACTACAACTAATTTGCATCATAAATTTCCTCATGTATAAAATGAGGGGAAGACATGGATGCTCAATGATTCTCTCCAGATCTAGCATTCTATGGGGATAGAATCTGCAGGACTCTAGAACTCACTCAGAGTTGCAGGACGAGCTGAAACTTGGTCCAGGCTCTTTGTCTCCCAAACCTGGCTTGTGAGTGGGAGTGGGAGGTTGACTCTATAATCTCAACATCGCTGCTGTATCCTTCCCATGCCCACTGGCCCAGAGGGTTAAAGTCATCATTACTCCCATCCCCTCATTGAATAATCCAAAGTATGCTTTTCACATCCAGTTCTCCCCATTCATAGTGGATGACCTCTCCTATAAGAGTCAGTCCTTGGGATGTTTCTTTGTAATGGATCTAAATTTAAAGGCATCTCAGAGAGGACTCTCACCATGAACTACACTTAAAGGCATTTCAGGCTTATGCTAGCAAGTTTCACGTAGCAGGAGATTTTAGGAGCTACAGAGTTTTAGATACTCCTAAAATAACTCTTAGTAGACTAGACTCTAGTTATGGTACCACTTTCACTAGGAATATCACAGTGATTTCTCAGAAAGTGTTCTTCCATTTTCCTTGGAAAAACCTAAACTTTACACACTTTTAAGTGATTGTAGATAATCCCTCTAATTAAGAAAAGGCCTAGCTCTCACTGAAGGTCTTTGCCTAATTCTTCCATTACTGGTCCTCTCTTGGAGCAAAAGCAGAGGTGGGAGCAAGTCCAGCTGGCCCCAGTTCCTAGGTTTGGAGGCTATTAGCAGGTTCCCTAACCACACACACACACACAGAAGACTCCCTCTCACCTCAGCTACCAAAATGACCCACCAGCCTAGCCCACTTTGCCATCCATATCCATCTCCAGCTGGAATCAGGGGCAAATGCTAACTAGGGCAAAGTAAAGCTGGAGTTTATCATAATCACTATACCTCCCATTTGTATAAGTTTTTTTTTTCCTTTTGTTGGACCTTTATGTATATTTTCTCTTTTGGCCCTGTCAGGGAAGAAAGCCAGGAACTCTATAAATCCATGCAAAGTGGCTCCCTCATTCATGCTAACGAGATGCCCCCCTGCAAAAAAAAAAATGTCAAAGCCTACACAGAGAATCACACATACTCGGTATGCTTCAACCATGCTCATGGATCGACACTGAGATAGAAAAAAGGATGTATGGGGTAGAAATAAATACGCTTACTGTTGATTGAGAATCCAGAAACCTGGATTCTTTTCCCAATTTTGACACTTACTTATATTATCTTGTACTAGTAAAACCCTCTACCCAAACCAGGTATTAATTTTAACATCTGTTCTAAATCTGTGCTGTTCAATGCAGTAGCCATATCTACACCTGGCTATGCTATTGAGTATCTGAAATGTGGCTATTGTCATTGAAAGATAGGATTATTTTTATTTTATTAATTTACATTTAAGTTTAAATAACCACACATGGCTAGTAGCTACCACAGGGCTATGGCAACAGCACAGAATAACGTAGGGGATTACATTATCTACTACATTACCCACACATTACTTGGATGATCTGTACCATCTCTCCTAGGTGGTCTATGCTATTCTGTTTGACAGGATTCAAACTCATCTAGCATTCTCAGTTGGATTGCCCCTGCCTCACTAAAATGATAACCCAAGGTTGCTTTATATCCATGGGGTAGGTGCTGGGACAGGAAGAGGGAAAGTGGTGAGAGCCATATTTCCAAAGCCAGACTTATTCTTTTTTCATTTTCTCTAGGTTTCTACAAGCTGGAACTAAAAGGTGAATCACAGCTATCACAGCCTCTATGAATGAGTGTATGTGTGTGTATAAAACCGGGGTATTGGTACAGTAACACCTTTTATCCACCCTTCCAAAGTACAACTAGTATTGACTGTGAAACAATTTCAGTCCTAAAGAAAAAAAATATGAATCCTCTTGATTTTGTGGTAAAATGAATACATCTTGAGAGCGCCTCTTTATCTCTGATCTCAGTTTACACATCTATAATATGAGAAGGTTGGACTAGATTGATTTATTCAACAAACCAAACAAGGCAATGAACTAACAGCTGAGGACATAAAGATGAATCAGACATGCCATACCTTCAGGAATTCAGTTTAATATAAAGTCTTCAGGAATTTAGTTTAATATAAAGTCTTAACAAGATGATTTTTCACAGCCATTTTCAGCTCTGAGTCCATGTAAGCTATGAATCCTGTGGCTCATGTGTCAATGCTGTATCAAGGAAAATTCCTTAACCTTCTACCCAAGTCCTATTTCATTAAGACAGTTTCCCCATCCAACTACATGTTATTCCTCCCTCTCTTGTACCATTCTCTACTTGGTCTTCTCCACCCCAATAAGAAATTAAGAACTCACAGAGTCTTGAAAAATGAGAAAGAGTGGAGAGACTGCAACAAAGAGGTATCGTTCTGGGCACTTCACACTTTCCAAAATGACAGAAAATATGATGGTAGATATGTAATAAAGATGGATAGAGAGGAAAAGAAAGGATGAAGAAGTGAGGAAAGGAGAGAAGGAATCCACTGTCAATTATAGCAAATGTGGGATAAATTGATGCAGACGTACAAGGCAAAGATCCATTTGGGGATGGGTAGAGCAATGTCCTTCCCATCACTCAGGAATAGAGAAGCAGCTAATGAAAGAAACAAGTAGGGGAGCACACAGAAGAACCACAGGGCATGCCCTCTCTGCCACAGCTATAGTGATGACATCTTGAAACTGAAGGTTCTAACCCCTTTCTATTTTCTTCATTACCTAAGAATGAATTATCCTTCCACCATAATTCAAAATGCCTATAACATTTCAGACTGGAGGGAAAGTGATAATTCATCCTTTCTCTCCCTTATAAACTTTCCCATAGATCTCTAGGGATCCAAATTCAGTTGAAGAAATACTATTAATAGTTAGAATGTCAATGTAGTTAGTAAAACTTCCCAATGGAGGAATCAGAAAGTCTGGTCTTGAATCCAAATGTTATCTTCCCCTTTAATGTGGTTGGATGGCCTTTTCCCCCAAACATCACCACCACCACCATAACCAAGGATTCTGTGAAAGGAGATCAAGATTCCAGGAACCTTAAAGCCCTTGGCCCCAGGTTGGCTGTGAGGTAATTCTGGTACACAAAGTTTGTAAAGTTTGAGCAAATGACTTTGTTCCTGCAGCAGGTGGGACGCCAGAAGACTATTGCTGGGCTCACATTTTACAAGTTAAAACTAGTTATTAGTTATGGGATCATGTTTACAGAGTATTAAAATCACTGTATTTAGGCCTATCCACATATAGAACCTTCTCAATATAACTCATAATTGATGCAATCAACTCATATTACAGTCTTATCCATTTGGTTTGTATTAATAACATCAAGGTGCCACCCCGGGCTCTAATCAGCAGATACCAGACTGCTATGTCCCTATTCTCCAGAAGCCAGACTGAGTCCCCTACAGCTCCAATACCTCAGAGCCTAGCCAAAGGCCGAGAGCACTTACCTTGTCCCCAAATTCCTAAAACAGGACAACAGACAACAAGCTCAGTCATTCCAGAACATTTTCAGTGAGACAGAAAAAAAGCCACTTTTAATTCAATGGAGGCAATATATTGCTGTAGGGATTTCAGAAAACCAAGCTCAAACTAAGGTACTTATTTTCCAGTACATAAGGCACCAGAAAGGAAAAGGCTTTTTAGAATGTGGATAAAGCCACAAGTGTCATATGGGAGAAAGAAAGAGAGCAGCAAGAAAGGAAAAGAGAGATGAAACTTATCTTGCTTAAGATCAAGTTTCACATAATGCCAGTTATATTAGCATATACTGGTAGGATTATCTTTTCCTGCCTGCAAATAATCTAACTACCCCCAATCATAAAATTCAGAGAGCACTAAGCCAGACAAAGTATACTCCTCCCTGCTTCCCCTCTCAGAGCAGCTGAATGATTTCCTGAGAATTCTATTGCTGGAGCTAGGGGTAAAATCTCATTTATACACACAACCTGCAAGACTCCAGTTTCTATTCTTCCTCTCTCTGTCCCTCCCCCTCCCCCACTTTGCACCAGAGAAGTCAAACTCTGGGTGTGCTTTAGACAGTTTGAGGACTAATCTGAAAGAGGAAGAAGAATCTGTATATATTGGCTAGCACATGTGCCCTGCCCTCTCCCCCCTTGAAAATAGCAGCAACCCATCTTTTTAACAAAGCTTGCCTAAAGAGCAGGCACTCTGTGAATGGAGTACTCTTTTAGGACCCTTCGGGGTATCCAGATTCACTGCACAGCTCACCAACAAGGCTTACCTCTCCAGGGAACTGATAGATTGGATTTACTGAAGACTTGGAGCTTGCTTCTGAGAGCGAATGCAAAAGGACCCTGAACTGTGAATCTTGGAGTTATCAGGTAAGGAGATTTGGTATTTCAGTGCTAGGACCAGAACAGTATATAGTATAATTGTGCTGATGTTAGATTTTAGCAAGTTCCCAGGAGTTTGGAGATAACAAATGTGCCTTGCCCACTTTATATTAGGCTGCTAGTATAAATTCTTTCTGCTTTATGTCTTGGCCAGAGATTTGACAGTCTAATCAGTGTGTCAACAAGTATTTCTCAGTGCTTCTGCTAGGGCTCAATGTCGCAAAATACAGAGGGGACACTCCTCAAGCCTCCAGCACCTTCACAATTAAGCCAGAAATATAAAACATATTTTAAAATCCTATTTTGAGAGCTCAATGGAGTTTCTCTAATGTAGTGGCAGTTTCCTTCAATATGGGGAAAAAATATATATATAGTGACTGCTAAAGGTCAACCAAACAGTGAAAAGTGACCTTTTCATAAGGTAGTTGCACATTCGTTATCCCACTTGAACCTCTCAAAATCCTATAATTTATACAGGGTAAGTGTTACTGTCTTTGTTTTACAAATGAGCAAATAGACTCAGAGAGGTAAAAAAATTTTCTTGAAACACACCACACAACTAGAAATTGGTGAGCTCTGACCAGACTGCAAAAAGAAAGCTCTCTCAACCATACATGAATATAAGGAAGTTGCATGATCTATTTAGTAACTTAGACATATCTAGCACAGAACAGGTTTGCACAGAGCCAACAATTCCTGCATTTTAATCAAAATCTTTTGCCAGGAGCAATTTTCTACTTAGCAAAGAAGCTGTTTTCAAGAGTAAACAAACGAGTTGGTAGCCTCCTATGGAATTCAGTGGTTCTGCCTTCCAGTATTCTGATTGTTTTGAAACTTAGAGAGAGGCCACACACCATATATCTAGTAGGTGATTATTTAAAAAGAAAATGTAACTTTGTGCACCATGTGGGGGATGGACACGCTTGAAGCTCTGACCCCAGGGGGCAATGGGGGAAGGCAACACACGTAACCTAAACATTTGTACCCCCATAATATGCAGAAACAAACAAACAAATAAATAAATGAAAATGTAACTAAACCTGGACTTGTTTGTGCATTGTTTTAAATATAAAAATATTTATATTTGCACAATGCATTATAAAATGCAATGGACTACATTGCATTTTAAATATATTAGTGGAATTTGTTTCTGAACAATTATAAGTTTATAGTATCTATTGCAACAAGTCTTAATCATTCACAAATGTATTCTGTTGTTATTTTACTATTAATTAGGTAATTTGGGGGTGGACATGGGAAGTATAGGACATGATGAGTTCTGGTTTTGATCTGTTGAGTTTGAGGCAATCACAATAATTCCAAGGAAATATCTAGTGGGTGGTTGGAAAATAATCGCCCTGAATGTGAGTGATGGGTAAGAGATGGAAGCCAAATTTAAATCTGGAGAGGGTGATAGCCAAAGGCATAAAAATGGCTTAGCTTAGAGAAAAGAAATCAAAGAGATGACCAAGGCCTGAAATGTGTGTAGTACCTAGAGTTTTGGGAAAGAGAAAGAAGGTGGTCCAGAAAAATAAGAGCCACAGAAATATAATCCTTCCTCTCCTCAAAAGATACCAAGAGTCTTAAGGGAAATTACCTGGTTATTTATTTTTTTTTAAGTTCTCTTTCCAAGAAAAACTAGTATATTGCCTCATACACACTGCGAGCACTTACAAAATGTTGATTTCTAACATAAGCAAGTATGGCTAATTTTAGCCTTACACTGTCTTCCAGCTTGAACTCTGTCACAAATTCTTTACAACCTAAGAGTGGCTACTCTAAACCCTCTTGCTACATGATTTTCAGTGCGAATGAAAGTGGACCTGAATAACTGGGAATTTATCCTTGCTTTGACGATTAATCCGCTGTGTGTTCCATAGCAAGTTACTAACCATCAGTATTTCTTGGTGCCTAAATGTATCAACTGAGCTGATAAGGATAATTTCCAAATGTATTAAAGTGATAAATATGAAAGCAACCTGAAAATACAAACCACCACACAAAGGATTTTGTTTAAAGCCCATTCTTTCCAGAAGGATAACATATATAACAAAACTGATTGGATATGGATGGAGTAGGGCCAGCTACTTTCTACTACACTACATTACACCTTCTAGGCCACAGGCATCACTCTAAATCTCAGCAGTCTCATTCTATTCTTTGGACTTGTCAGTAGGATCTAGCCCTCTAGTTGCCACTAGCCTTCAATACCTGTACATAACTCAATATGAATTCTGAAAGGAATGAAATATTTGAGAATAGTATTTAAGAAGTATTTCTGTGAAAGCACTATCAAGCTATTTTCATTATCCACTAAGCCCATCAATTCTTAGGATTAAATGCTAAGGATCAAAAATGAGTTTTATACCAAGTTCTGAATGTAATACAATATTCTACCACTCTGTTCTAAAGCCACTTGTCCAATCATAGATTCGGTTAAAATATAAATCATATTCCTAGAACATATAAGTCTGTATAGTGCCTGTGTCTCTCCCTAAAATACAAAGATCTAAAGTCACTTTTATCCCTCACTCCAGTGTTATTTGGGTTTCAGGCTACATGAACGTCTATGTGGTATGATTTCAGGGCCAGTAAGAAGAGCTTTCCCAGTTCAATCAGATGTGAACAAACTCTTAAAAGATATATTCACAGCAATCAACCCACAAGAGAGGGATTCACAAGTTGGAATGCCAATTTATTGATTTGCAGTGAGGAAATACAACTGCTAAGAAGTCTGATAGACTCAGTGGGTAGTCTCATATCCTCATCCCTACAGAAAAAAAGCAATAAAGGAAGCCATGTAATCCGATTAGATAAATCCAGACATTTTAGGTCTCTTAATTCATGTTACAATCCTGGTGCTAAAACACTTTTAAATGACAATTACTTTTGCCTCTGCATACATTAGTAGACAAGGCCACTGTATAAACATAACTCTACACTCTACAAAACTCCTCTATTTTGCATTTTCATTCTGCCCCATCCCACTCCATCCCATCATGATCTCTTTTCCTTCTTTGTGCCCCACCAGTCCTTCTTCTAAATTGGGGGTTTGCTATATATGGTATAAAAGAGAAAGAAAAATCTTTAAAATTTTGGGAAAAGTTAAGGAGAAATCCTCATAGTAATAGGGGAAAAGAGACAAAACAGAGGAGTAAACATAGAGCCTTGGACATTTAAACACATAGATGGTTTTCCTTTTGATGAATAAAATGTCATTATCTTATTTAGAGTGATTGTGTAATCAATACATCCCAGACATTTGAGCTTCTACTTAAATGTAACTATTGGAAAAGGAAAAGGAGTTGAGATACAGACTTAAGAGTCCTCTGAAAAATTCAGGCTTTCTTTTATTTCTCATCATTCCTTTTCACAGAAAAAGGAAAGAAAATTCCAGTTTGGAATAACATTTTGAGATGTCTAAAGTATAAGACTTGTTAAGATTTCTTATTTCAGATTAACAGTATTTGTTTTTACATAGAGTTATCTTTGTGTTGTCATGGATTCAACAAGATAAATGGGATTGAGCTAATAATAACAACACTCAAACATCTCTGATGTGTTTTACACAGTTGTTCCAAAGTTCCTAGGAAGTCTCCTGGCCTCAGAAGATAATAAAGCTTATTTTCATTCCAAATTGGTTACCTTTTATGCATAATCTGAATTTGAATTCTTATTTAAGACAAGGGGCCTTAAATAAAAAGCAATCTCCTAGAGAACAACTCTCTTGTTCCCAAGATCCAGACATCTAAATGTCCAGAAGTTAGAGGCAGGCCTCAGAGTTAGCTGTGAGCAATGACTTCAGAACTTCAGGGAATTCCAGGTTCCTGGTAATTAGATAGAGACTTATACAGGTCTCCCTGGAAAAAGGTAGGCCCTCTATTTAGTGTTTTACAAAAAGTTTGAAAGTATGTAGGCTTTCCATAACATATTTCTATCACAAAACTAACGGTGGAAGTATCCTCCACCGTGCACCTACACCCACACTCATGCACTCCTCAAGATCGCTGTTGCCTTCTTTGTGACTTGGCATTTCCCTTCAGATCTGACATTATGCACCATTTTAATCTGATTACACAGGGTAAAACATTTGTGGTACAGTACAATGGAAGGGAACACACTGCATCATTAGCTCTGAATGCCACAGTTCAAGGTCCTTTTGGGTTTGAGAGTGTCCTGTGTTTGGATTCAACTGTCTGACAATAGAATGGCCTGGTTTGATAGGTATGATGTTCTCCCCTTAAGGAAAATAAACTACTCCAGAAGAAACATCTGAGAGCTGACAGCAATGAAGTATCAGCTCCTCTGTAGTTTTTAATACTAGTGAGAATACTGCTAAGTATATCCCTGGAAATACAAATTATGAAAGCTACTATTTGTAATGATAGGACTACAGTGATGACAGGAGTATCTCCGCCTCCCCCGCAACGAGATTTTTTATTAGCATGGAGGAAAGCCACTGGGATCATTAGTAGACGCCTGATGGCTTATAGATTAAATCTCCATAGAGGATGGATAGCTTTGCTCCAGTCAATCAATAACCAATCACACAATAAACATTTATTACATATTTTTCTATGTGCAAAACACTGGGGTAGGCTAGGCTTTGGGGTCACAGAGCTTATGGAAGAAAAGGCTAGACTTTTCCTCTCCTGCCCTAGGAGTGTTCACAGTCTACCTAAGCAAGATTCCTACATGTTAAAAAGATACAATTCAAGGTAGTAAAATATTGACTGCCATATCATTAGTACAGATAATAAAGAGAATACAAGCTCAAAGACAATAAGAGTGGGATAGGATAAAGCAGGTGTTAGGTAGTGGGACCTAAACTGAGCCTACTATGAGGAGGAAAGAGAATAATAAAAATTTACATTTGTATAGAGCTTTACAGTTTGTAAAACACTCATGTTTGATCTCCTATTCACTCATATACTAATTCGACAAACATGAGTGTGTGCCTGCTGTGTCAAAAGATTAATACAGCATTA